AGCAATCCCTGTTGTGCGCTAATAATTTAGCTGCCTTCTTTTCACAGACCTACTCATTGTTTTGAATGTGTATATTAAGGTTGCCAAATTAAAGCATTAAATAAAAGCATTATTGTAGTACATACATTAAAAGAGCACAGTTTTCTCGGGAAGAACGGTCATCTGTTTTCCTCAAAGGTAAGTTTGTATTCACAACGATGCCAAGATATTTGTAACTGTTGACAATCTAATTTCTCGCTCCTCAGTGACTGAGTTTTGCAGCCTGTGGTTACTTTCTATAACCCCTGATCATGTTGCAGGTTTTTGACATTAATTTGAAGGAAGGACCCGTTGCACCCTAGCAGAGATACAGTGTGGGAAGTCTAAACCTTGTACTCTGAATGTACCTGGCATGTTTAAGGAGTGCACAAAGGTTATTTACTTTTGGGGTCATCTCATATCTGTACTGTCTGGAATGAGAGGAAGAAATATCCCGTTGGATCCAGCTGTGTTATCACTTCATGAGGAGTGCAGCAAAGACACCGAGAGCAAGTGCCAGCTCCCTCCTCACAGCCCGCAGATACAGCGGCTGTCATACACACACACAGCGAGATGCCAGACCTGTCTGCTGCCAGGGTCAACAGGGCTGGAGATGAAGAGAAGCCGCATCTGAAAGGAAGCCAACTGATTGGGTCTGGGGACACCTGTTAAACCACTTGGCATTGCTTCTTGCCGATCTTATGTTTCAGATATTCTTCGTGAAAATCCATCCATCGATTTTTTTTTTAACCGTTTCATCCCGTTGCAGGGCGGTGGGGCAGCTGTGTCACCATGCCACCTTCCCTCGTTAAAACCAAAACAAAACTCCCGATGTAAAAATGAGAATGATGCACGCAACATTGCATTGTGAGTTCACAAGACCCTTACAGCACGGTTCTGCTTCGATCTCCGATACTTTAGAAATAAGAGTGTTCCTCATCTGCCAACATGCAGGTTTTGTCCAGTGCGGGACCTCGGGGGGCAGTGTGTGCGTTTCATTCCTGCTCTTAACTACCAATATCAGCTCTAATTGGATCAATTTCAAATCCCAGCTCTTCAGCTGCTTGTGCTTTCAAGATACCAAGGAAACTTAGATAAGACTGGAGCTCCAGTACCATTACTGCAGACTCCTGCTTTAACTCAACCTCGAGCCAGAAAACACCTTCCAACAGAGCAGCACAGAGATTCTAACATGGGAGATGCAACCGGCAGAATCCGAAACACCTGATTACATTTACGAAAAGCATTTATAAAATGACTTAAGTAGCGTGCATTGAATTCATTCTCTTATTGTTCTGGATTCCATGACGTAGAACTTTTTGGCTTTTGTCCTTTGTGCATCACCCTGGATCATCATCAACTGGACCAGCTCAACTCTGCGTCTTTAGCAAGGCTGGTGGAGACTGTCGCAAGGTGACGTACTGGAAGGGACCGGATTCTTCTGCGGCAGGAGGACCAGCCTTCTGGCACTGCCGAACCTCCTACTGTGTGCTGCACCACTGCAGGATCAAGGCAGGGCAGAGCATTGGGAAGCCACCAGTCAAAGACTGGAAGCTAGACTTTGCTTTCTTGTCCCCACTGTTGATTTTTCCCCTTGCAGTCCCTCTCTCTGATTCTTTCAGTCTCTCTCCTCTCTTTGATTCTCTAATCAAAGCAATAGGCTGATCCATCCACGGTGTGACAGGGAGCGCTACAGGAGGTCATTCTGGCCTTCTGCCATTAGACTGTAGAACTCATCCACCTTGCGTCTGGGCAGAGGCAACATTTACAGGGACCTGTTTCTGGACTGAACAGTAAACTGATACAGCTGTTCTTTTTCTTTTCCCGTTTTAAAACCGTTTTTGTGCAATAGACACCAGGGACCTGTGCAATACATTTATATTTATTTATAGTCACATTGTGCAATACGACTTTTTTGTGTACTGTTCTGTTCCGGTTTTGTTCTGTTCTTTGTGTGTTCTGGACTGCGAGTAACTCTTCTACTTGTATTATTATTATTGTATCATTCGTTACACTGTGTCTGTGTTAAGCTGCTGTTGCACTGCAATTTCCCTCACGAGATCAATAAAGTATCTATCGATCTAATACATCTCTCCGTCTCGATCATTCTTGTTCCATTGGTTTCTTTGGTCTATCTGCTTGTCTTGTCCTTCTACTTTCCCCCATCTCTCTTTTACTTAATCTCCTCCCTTTTTTTTTTACTCTCCAGAACCCTCTCGCTATTCCTTATCTCTCCTCCCTTCTCCCTCCTTCCCTGGTCTCTTTCCCAGCCCTTCTCCAAGCTCCCTCTCCCTTCCTATCTCCCACTCCCTGCTCCTCTCCCCCTCCCTCATGCTGGCCGCACTCTTCCCGGCTCCCGGCAATGAGATCCAGACGTGACCACAGCGAGGTGACTCACTGCAGCTGGGGCTCTCCAAGCCCAGAGCTGCTGGGATTGCAGGTCGGGAATCAGGAGAGACAGGCTCCTGGCTGGAGCGGCTTGGCCCGCGCTGAAAATTCCAGCGAGCGGCGATCGGCGTTTCTTCACAGAGAAACCGCCCGGGAACCCAAGATCTCCGACTGTCTTTTCGTGTGGACTGATGTCTTTAAACTGCGGCCAAAGATCTCCCCCCAGCGCCCCCCTGCTTTTAGGTTAAGTCAATTACGTTTTATGAAAGGCTGCCTGCAGATTCTGCACACAATCTGAGGGCCGGTTCCCCCCCCACACTTAAGTCAAGGCAGCATGTTGTGGAAGACCATCTGTAAATTCTGCACAAACAATGTGGAGACTGGTTTCTTTCTCCCCACACAATAACATGCAGGGGCTCAGTCTCCACAGAACCATACATACATTGCTGAGCCAGCGGAATTGGTCAGATCAACAGAATTAGCGTGTGGAGAGACTTGAACCGAACTGTTTTGTAACATTTCAACGTTAAACCCCCCCTGAGGTCACCCTACCTTATTATTTTAAAACTTGGAACTTATTACTCCACCGTTTGGAACTGTCAACTGTTAATCAGCATGCGACCCAATACCAGCGCGTGTCTGATACTCCACAGTGCCTTACAAGAGTGAGCAATGAATCTCTTCCTACTACTCCATTACAACTTTACAAAGGGAACTCGGTTCCATACCTAGCCAAGAGCACTGTACCCACTCAACCAATCCTGGTAGCTCTCAGCTGGACCCATCCAGTTTATAGCATTCCCCCAGAAAAACTTGGATCACACAACTCTACCTCTGCACAGAGTGAGGGCCTTTACTTTCTGAGCTATCCCACGAGGAGCTGCATCAGTATGAACAAACTCGAGTTAATTCCACACTGAGACGTAGAAAGAAGAATCAATGTTTTGCCTACTGGGCCTTTGTCAGGTGCGGGATGCTCCTAGATTTCCCAGTCTGAATTCATGGCCACTCTCCGCACTATGGGAGTATGGATTAATGGTCAGGGAGCTCTGGACCCACTTTAAAAGCGTTGTGGATTCCAATCACCAAGGAAGGCACAGCTTGGTCATCACTGAGCTAGGCGGTTTCCACCAACGGGTTCATTCAACCCAGCTGTATAAACAGGTACCACTCACGGGCAACCCCATGCTCAACCACTGCATACTACAGGAACCCTGTTCAGCTTCATCCTCTGCCCATATAACTGCAGTTATGACTTAGTTGTTATACTGTATAAAGTATATCCCACAGAAATGCAAAGATCATACTGGTACTTTCTAGCTCATTTGGTAGTTAGTAGTTAAAAGATCCAAGAAGCTCTTCCAGCTGTTTTTTGACACAGCAGGGTTTCAGCTTCAACAGCATGGCTGGGAAGCTTGCTCCATGCGCCCGCTATTCATTGTGTAAAGCAGTGCCTCATATACACTTCCACAGTTTCCACTTTACAACTTCTAGTTTATGTTTCACTGTTAATAATTAAGTCCATAAGTTTGACTTTGTCACTGCCTCCGAGAAATCCGAATATCTTGATCAGGTCTTCTCTATTCAAGGTCTGAACAATGGCTCAGTTGTTTTAGACTGTCAGTATAGGACATTCTCTTAAGCCAGGGAATGTATCTGGTTAGTTTTTTTCCAGACTGATTGGAACGCTTCTATCCTTTTTTTGGTCTGTGATACTCAAAACTGTGCACAGTATTCTAAATAAGGCTTTACTCATGTGTTATACAATGTTAACATCCACCCATTTTCTAACCAGAGCCTATCCCAGCAAGCAATGGGCACAAGGCAGGATGCACCCTGGACAGGATGCCAGTCCATCAGAGAGCGCACACACTCACACTCACATACACACTTACACCCCTTCCAAGAAGCCAATTAACCAACCAAGACAACTCCTGACGAAACTCGCTCAAACATACTGTACAAACCCCAGGAATGAACACAGTGCCCTGTTCTGTGAGACAGTAATGCTGACCACTGTACCACTGTACCACCTACAATTATAGCATAACACTGCTCATTTTAAATTCTATGTTTTTTTTTATATATATATCCCTGCTTTTTGTTTTCCATTTCAATTCCATCCTCACAAGAGTAACTCCACATTTCCAGTTTGGTACTGACAGACTATGTGTTTCCTATTTGCATGCAACACCCAGCGCTTTTTCACATTAAACATCATCTGATACGTATTTGCCCAGACTTGTTCCGTCTACAGTGACATGTGCTGGCTGCAAACGGTTCAGCCGTCCTCATCTGTCAACCTCCGTTGGATCAGCTGAGTACTTGCTCCTGCTACCTGTGATGGTCCCAGCAGCTACAGAGTGACACTACAAGGGGATCTTGTAGTATCTGCCCCAGGGTTGCTGAACAGCACAGGGTCTTCTACTTCCTGGGCCAACTGGGCTCTTAATGACTAAAGATCTTCAGCAGGGGGACGTCAGGCTGAACACTGGGCGGCACAGACCTGAAAAGCTCGCAGACTCCAGCTGCTTCACCGAGCGAACTGCAGACTCCAGCTGCTTCACCGAACGAACTGAGGCGGAGCCACTTACCTGAAAACTGCCGAAACAGCTGCCTCCGGGCAGGCTGACGTAGCAGACATAGGGGGGACTGCTGGAGGGCACCATCTCGTAGACCACCAGAGCCCCATTGCGCAGGTCAGCCCCCCTGGACTGCTTCATCTGCCAGAACTCCTGGAGGGCCTCCACCACGTTCACTGCTCAGGAGAAACCAAGGCAAAGGTCAGCACCGTGGGGCAGGCTGGGCAACGCACACCCTTGACAGATGCTACAGCTGGACAGAACATGGAGCACCCCTCACTTCTCAAGCTGGCCAACACATTCCAACAGCTGTAGGACAAGAGCAGAGCCTCATGCTGCAGCGACATTGGGAATAATGGAGAATAAGCAGGGACCCTGCTTTTTTCTCTTCTCAGTGCTTACCTTTTCCCTATATATGACTATCTAAATACAATTTTTTTAATGTTTTTTTTTAGTTGCATGCTCTTTAAGTTCTTGTTGCTGCTGCGGTTCGGTGTTTCCGTTTCTGGCGATTCCTTAATGTCTTCGTGTTGGAGCTTACATGCTACAACATGCAACGAAACGCTTACGACAAATAAACTGATCTAATCTAAATGTGGGAAGCAGCACGACACGGCTACCTCAGCTCAGTGTGAAAAAGATCTGTGTCCAGGATGGTCTCCACCACACACAAAATAGGCCCGAACCTGTACCAAACATGGTACAAAGCTGCCTGCAGTCATTGAGTGTCTGCAGCGTTAACAACCATAGGATCTTAGTCCACAAAGGTTCCAATTGTATGTGCACTACATTTCATTACATTGACACCACTGTTTGAACAGGAACCCTACAGAAACTATGACCCAACCCCATGCAAAACTCAGTTTAGGAACTTGGCTTGCTAGAGAAAGAGAGGGTTGGCTCTCAGCCCTAATAAATATCTTTCAATATTTCCCCGAAAGTCTCACTGTGGGAAGAGACTTCTTTGTTCCTTTCTTAAGGATAGCTTTGGAATTCTTAGTCTTTAAGCAGGGAGAGGGAAACTGTCTTTTGCAAAACACTCACGTTGTCATATGGCTACTTTGAATAATGCCCCTAGATTGTGTGCCCAGCTGCCAACTAGATTTCTTCCACAGAGACTGGGTGCTATGTGTCACAGGAGACAACAGCACAAAGAGCTGCTACAGTCATCCTGTAGACACGACTGCAGTAGGAGTTGAGTCCTGAGTTGAGGGTTCAGCAGTTTTAGCATCGCAACGAAACCCATCAGGAGTTGAAAGCAGAATTTGAGAACTGATAGGAGCATCACCAATACTCCCTGATACACAGAGCGACTCAGAGCAATACCTTAATACCCCCAATGTTTCCAACAACTGAAAGCATTTTTAAGAAAGGTTATTAGTTCATTAAAGAGTGTTCTTCAGGAATAAAGACATCTGTATTAAGTCCCTAGGGCATTTTTAAATTGTCAAAAACAATTTTTCAGAGAGGTACTACAGTGTATTGCACATTACACACTGTATTGTTAATTTTAACTGTGAGAGTAATATTTCACCATATTAAGATGTGTACTATAATATCTCACCTTTGATTATTATAAAGACACCTGCAAAATATGAATCCATTGTCACAGAAAGCCGAATTTTCAAGTCAGGGTCAGGACTACCCAAAGCCCATCAGGAAAGCACAGGGTTCGAGGCACAACTGCAGCTCATGTCTCACCGCAGCACAAAGGCACAATATAGCGACACCTTGCCAATGTGTGCTGAAGCGGACGGAAGGAAACCGAAGCACTTTCAGGTTAAAAACCACAGGAAGATGGGGAGACCATGCAAACTCCTCACAGACAGTCACCCCTGTCCAGAATCAAACCCAGGACCCCAGAACTGGGGAGCATAATGTTAACTGCCTTGCTGCCAAACCACCCCAATACAAAGTAACAGTCACAGCAGTAAAAACTGATCAAGGAGAATTCAGCTCCAAACGTGTTTATTTTAGTTATGCACCTCTGCAAGCACAGATAAAACAATCAGGTACTTCTGCAATTTCAGCTGGTTGTGCGCATGACATGTAACTGCTATGCCTGAAAGCCTGGGAGGGCGAGACATCACTTGAATGTGTTGCACTAACATGTTAATGACTGTACTGAGACATTCTGAGCCTAAAAACGATAAACGAAAATTAACTCATTGTTGCACGCTTATGGTGTCTTTTTGAAACTTTGTTACTGGCCATGTTCACAGAATATAGGGAAGGACCGACACTTTTGATAATGGTAGAGTTTCATGCAGGACTAGGATCACAGGGCTGAACAGTACTGTTACTTACTGGAACACCAATAAGCCCTAAACACACAGATAGGAAATTTCTACCTTAAAGTGCTTAATGCTTAGTTACTGGATCGCTATTGCAGTGTGCAGTTGCTTAGTTTTCAGTGAGTTGTCTAAAGACAAAAAATATTCCATAGTCCATCTAGAGATGTAAAAGAAATGGTTTCAAATGGACCTACAACAGCTGACCATCAAGGTTAAAAAGATATCCTAAGTTTCTGAAATATTAAATTATTGCAAAAAAGCTTAATTGTAACACAGGTATGCAGTTTTGAAAAATACCTGATGGATGAAATAAGTGCATGCATGTTATTTTCCAGCTTTGTGAATTGTTACCACTTTTGTTACTTTGTTTTCTTTAAGTATTAAGGTTTTTGGTAAGTATGGTGAAGGCAACATACCTGTAGTTGAGGACCATATGGCTATTTTTACTGTCAGGACCTGCCTCATGCCACTGTGTTGAAAGCTGTTGGTGCCAGTGGCCACCAATGTGGGACATCCTCACCATTCCTCTTGGCAAAGTATCTAGGCTTTGTTTTCTGAGAGACTGTCAGAGAACAATGCTGTACACTGTGCCTTGTTGTACAAGAGAATCACAAAACCTTTATGTACAGCAGTTCTCTGAATCCTAAATTGGGTGGTTAATACAAATGAAGTAGTAGTGTAGTAGCGAAGACCTTAACCAGATTAGTTAATCCGGACAGAAGGTGTATTTCTGTATCACATTCATCGTATCTAATCAAGGACACCAATACCTACTGTACTTCATCAAAGATACGGCACCCATATGTGGCGGGTCATGAAAGATATTCATATTTAAGTAAAGCTTTGATTTTAAGGACTACTGTTTAAGCATGTCGTTGCAAAACATTTGTTTTGAGCGCACATGTAGAAAGGATTTAGCAATTCTGCTGTATCGTGGTTTATTTCGGGAAAATAGCGACGTTGAGAGCGATATATAATGTTAATTTATCAGACTACAACAGTTTCAACTGTTAACAACACGATGTAAGTCGTTCATCCACCGTCAAATACTACAAAAAAATAGAATAAAGCACATAAAATACACTTTTGGCGCACAATAACAATTACATCAACCGTTATGTGCTTTTAAAGTATTACCGACAGACAATTCCGAAGTAAGCTAAATGTAAGTTAGCTACAACAACTTACCTCTTCCGTATCCCTGGGTGTGTTTTGCGAAGCTCCTAACAACAGCTTCCACCGCCTCCCTCAACACAGCCGGGTTGCCCGGGCTGCACATCCCCAGCCCGGCCACCCCAGCGGCTCCCAGCCCGGCGCTCCCCGGCATCGCCACGCCGAGGCTGTGCAGCTGCAGCGGCGGCGGCGGCGGCGGCGGCCCGGCCGAGGCGCCCAGACAAGCCGACGGCGGAGGCGGCGGAGCGGTGGGGACTGTAACCCCAGGCCGGAGAGAAGAGCGCAGCGTCCCGGTGCCGCCGGCTCCAAGTCCGATGCCGGGCTGCAGCCGTTGGGGACGAACAGACTCCATCATGCTCCCAAAAAAAGAGGGGGTCGATGTAAAATTAAACGAATGGGCAAAAATGAGGCTGAAGCAGAAAATAAACCAGAAAAAAAAATAATTCAAGACAGGGGAAGGGTTGGGGAGGATGGAATAATTATACCATATAACGGGACTGCCTAGACAGGGGTTTAAGGAAACGACCAATCCGAAACGAGCAAGGGGCTGAGATTAGACAGCCAGCAGCTCAATCAGGGTGAAAAACCGACTATCAATCTCGGCCAGGGGTGGAGATATGTCTAGCCCAGGGAAAAGGACGGGCCTTTGACTCAAACTGTGGAAACTTTGCGTTTGCAATAAAAGGATCGCTTGAGAGCGAAGTCTGATGCCAATTATTGAGCATCAACAGGGAGGGCCGATGGGTAACATTTACCTTTTTCAGATGTGTATCGGGGGGGAAAAAAATGAATTTTTACGTAATTTTGTTGGGGCTGGCTAGGGATTGAATTGCATTTAATATCACATTTAACAGTCTAATGGTACAGACTGTACAAATTATTGTACTTTTCCGAACGACTCGCTATACAGCCCATGACACCAGTGTCACAATTAAAGACGTCCGACGAAAGAGTCGTAAATAGCGTCAGTATTACCGAACAAGGGGCTCCGTTCACCTCTAAATTGCAAAGCAATATACTATTTTTAAGTTGGTTTTGCGAAACGACTGAAAAGCGATTACAACGAACAAATTGTAGGAGTAAAGCAGGGTAATGGGGCACTACAGGATCGTATCCCGAAAACGTCGATGACTTCCCTCGTTTGGAAGACTTATTATCGTCAATAAGTCTAGAATATAGGAGTAGACTGTGTACAGTATGTCACAGTAATGGCCGTGTCTCCCGTTTTTCAGAAGGGAAATCAAAAACAAATTAAGCACAGACATGCAAGTACAACTACTCTTGTTTAATCAAACCCTTGGTCTTTTAAGTGAGACTTCAGTGTGTAACGTATTACAACTGTATTCTTAATTTGACCTTTGAGAACCAGAAGGTAAAGGTTAAGAACCTCTGCCCCTAAAGCATCCCAAGACGGAAGGTGAAGTGGTTTCAGAAGCATGCCTTGCTTGACATAGCCACCTTTCAAACTGATCAAGTGAGCAAACCGGTTGGAGTCTCCAACGTATGTACAAATCACATATCCTTCATCACTCTGCATTCCCGAATGAAAAGGACACCACTTCCTCAATAGTAGTTTATTAATACACATCAGATTGAACTCCGATTTGGCTCAGCTCATGGACGTTTTCCCAGAAGATAAGAGTCGAGATGGCCCCCTAGACTTTGCACGTCTGGATACTTCCATTTTTACAGACGACCCAGAGGACGTCATTGTCATACGATACATGCTGGCTTAAACAAACCCCCTTCAAGGGCTTCCACTGTCTTCCAAAAGGATTACAGGCATTGACACCAACCCTGCAAGAGAGATGGGGTTTAGGAGCTGCAGATCCACTCAAGACATCCCCCTCTTCATGGATTAAAAATGCCCTTCCAGACGGAAGGCATTCCCACCTGTTAAAGACCACTCCATTCCTGTTCACCCCGTACACACTGCCGTCTGTGCCCACCTCCACCATGGACAGGGAGCCCTGAATGGGGTACCACCTGTCAGAGCCCTTGCAGTTTTGCTCCCTTATACCCAGCTTGACTTGGATTCTTCCTGCACTGTTCACTCCCCAGCAACCAAAAGGTCCGCAGGAGTAGTACTTGAGCCGGCCTGGGACTTGGAGCCAAGGGGCTGTAGACTGGCCTGCGTGGGGTAGCCCAGGCCTGCCATTCAGGCAGTAGATGGAGTGTGCTGCATTAACCCCTGCCACAAACACGTCTCCACCAGCATCCACCTGCACCAGCCGATCTGCAACAGCGGAGAAACCCACGAGTTGAGCTATACTGCAGCCTTGGAAGCTGAGGGACAAGGTCCTAACAGAAAAATGGGAGATTTGGTTGTTGAAATTATACCCCATCTCAGGCTTCTTATGCCTTCAATACCTTCTTTGTTACACACAAAGGCAAAGCAGCAGGAATTTCAGCAAGTGCATTTGGGGAACCTTTACAGAATGCACTCAAGTCCATACACATTCTACAAATGTGTATCTAATCTTACCTGGTTGCACTTGGATCCACCTCCCCCGCAGCCACTTGAACACAAGGCTGGCGAGACTCACACTCCAGAGCCCTGCTGGCCCCACACTCACATGTTTCCCCTTCATGGCCAGAGAGACCCAGCTGTTGCCCTGGTAGCTGACCAGGTTGTCTGCATTGTCAACTCCACACACCCTTCCAGCACCAGCATCTATCTGCTTCAGACTGCCAGGCACAGCCCGACACTGCAGGGCTTCAGCTACAGACACTGGGGAGGAGAGGACACCACTGGGTCAGTAACCACCAGTAAGATCAAGTGAAGCAGCATGTCAGATGCTCATGATCCTACTATGGGATCAATCAAAACATACAGGACAGAAGAAACAAGCCAACAGGGCTTGTTTGCATC